AGACATGCCCAGCATTACGGCGTTCCGGGGAAAAAATTATATCGATTTTAACGCGTTTCTAAACGAGACTGTACATAATTTTTTTAATATGACCTTTGGCAGAGACCAACATGAAATCAACCTTCTATGTCCGTGATCTGTGCTCTTGCCAGGTGCAATGTGGCCGACGTTCCGGAAAACATCGTGTATAAACACGCGGGCACATCCTGCACCCGTGTATAGGCTGGTATTAATCTCCATCAAAGGCGTCCTGCGTTTATGCTAGCGCTCCTAGTTTTTGCATCTTCGGTTAGCAGGAAGAAAAAGCGAACATTTGTTAAAGGCTGTAGAGGTGCCTCGCTAGAGTAAGATAGAGATACCGAGAAAGAGCCAAGTGAGATAAGATTGCAACGCGATGAATAAGTATTAGTATAGCATGCGATCTCGTGTCGTCCTGACAAATGCGTTTTCCTTACATCTCACGAACATCGTGCCTCAATCGCCACGTAATTGATTGTACGTCGAAACCGTCTCTGTCATTGCGAAGTAATCACTCAGCAGCGCTTAGCTGAAGCTGTGGCCATGGCTGGAGCGCCGCTCGCAATTTCTGCGATTCCATATCGTTGCGAAGGGAGATGGAATCTGTCCAACCAGAGTGTGTCGATTTATCTTGGCCACGTTACCCTGTTTTCCTGTCATCGGCATGGCGATGGGGAGTTTTAGCAGGGAATGCTTTTGTATAACATTAAGGACTGGCAATCAAGCAGCGCCATAAGTGCATTGTCACAGCGCCCGTCGTCTGCGTGCGTTCGCTTTCACCGGCTAAGCAAAACACGCAGAGAAAAAAAGCTCAAAGCCACAGCGCATTTACTGTGCGTAATTCCGGTCAGTCCGCCATAACCAACTCACAAAAAAGACGTGCTCCGTGACGACACACTTTTGGCACTATACTTGAGTGACTCCACCTCACACCACTTGGTATGAAAAAGGAGTATAATACCTGAAGATCGTGCAATGGCGCCACTGATCATCGTCTCGGCCATTTACTTCGAGTAAGGGTAGAGAAAAAAACTAAAAACATTTGCATTCGTATCTTGATCTTTTGATGAAAGCGTCATATGCAGAATTGCATTTTATATCTTCCATGCACGCGACGTCGCGTCTAGCGTCGTCACGTCCAGCTTTTGTACCGATTTCTTTTAAAGCTTTTGCAGCTTGGGAAGTCTTCTCGAAGCGTCTCGGAGTCCTCTTCCCTGCCTCTTTTTTTTTTTTTTTCTCTCTTCATGGTTGCGTTGTGTGGCCGTCGAAACTCGCGCCGCAGGTGTTTGGCAGCCGGCCACCTTTCTTCGACCGTGGCACGCTTCGCATGTCGAGGCTAAATCAGAGTTAGGCTCAGTAAGAATGTTATTCGGCATCAGATTTGAAACTCTCGTGGTTTCGTACCGGGAAAAGGCACGGACACCGGAACCTCTTATCTGGTCGGTCTAATTAAGACTAGTATTGTCTGAACTTGCCAAGTTCCTGCCACGTGAATCTGCACAAATTGCCTTACTCCGGACACTGATCATTCATAGCGTTTCCGCCTTCCAGGAACTTTTGCAACCTTTCCTCCGCCTTCTTATCACGCTCTGGTGTTTTGAAAAATGTTTTTGTCGTGAGATCAATGACTGGAGGAGAACTAGTCGCGACCCTTATCATTATCAAGAGGAGCAGGAAGTTGATGTTTGGTCGAAACTACTGCGCACGTTTTGTGCAGATAATACGTAGGTGGAGAGCGGGTGGCACACGAGTCCGCGTTTTAAAAGCTAGCATACCCACCGCCGCTTTCGTTGCTCGCTGCTGAGCGGTTTACGAAAGCTGTAAGATGCAAAAGAACTTGTGAGCGAGCCTCAGGGTATCCACCCTTTTGTGCCATTCGCATAACATTTTCACACGCAGCTTTGTTGTTTGGTTACTCATTGTCAACAAGATAGCGACAAACCTCCTCGCTTACAGCGGAGTTGGAAAGCCATATCAAAAGTTTAGAAGGTTGTCGGACCGTATCTCTAAGTACTAAACTCATTACAATTTTTTTAGTTACATTAGACAGTGTTATTAAGTGCCCGAGCATTTGGCCCTGACGCTAGGAACGTAACTGGCTATCTGCTGGATGTTTTCGTGATTTGATACTCTTCCTAATCACTAAGCAACTTTCATCGTGGCGCTAAGTGTTTTTTCGCGTACATGAAAGTGATTGTGGAGTCAATCCCTCTTTTTTTTAATTGGTTTGAGAATATATTTATTCTGCTCTTTCGTGGCTCTATCTTCCTTTCTTTTCTTCCCTTTCCCCAGCACAGGGCATGCACGGCTAGGAAAAACATCTAAGCTGATCGCCCTTTAGTTCATTAATCAAGTTCAATCAGTCGATCTGGCAACCTCAATCAGTCGATCATCCAGCTGGCGCGGTGACTTCGTTTACTCGTTACCAGTGACAGAAGCATAAGAACTCGAATGTCTAAAGTCAAAAGCAACCTAATACTTGCCAACTTCGCAGGTGAAAACGGGACACTGATAAGAACTTGAACGTAAAACACATTAAAACGTTGCCCAACCGAATGATCTCAAATAAAAATCTCCCGGGAGCCGCCGAACTTCAGCCCACAATGTTCTGTACTGAGAACTAGCTAATGGTCTCAACAAAAAGACTGCTATCTTCAAAGGATTTTAGAAAGCTTTGTTGTTGAGCTCTTACCAAATTTATGACTTACGTAACTTGGTTGAATAAGCAAGAAGTCGGTTCGAGTCGAGAACTACTAAAAACAAGTAGGACCACCGATTTTAGTGAATCGTATCCTCCGCGGACAACAAACATATGCTGTATAAGTACAAATATAGCTATACTTTCAACGCTCATAAGCCAGGACATCCGATATAAATTTTAATTTAAAGAAACACGACGTCCGCGGTTGCCTCAAAACATCAAATGGGCAAAGCTAATCCTGCGATTACAAAATCGCAGATTATGTATTTTATAAGAATACGAACCAACGACAAAAGGTGTGATGCAACGCTTCTGAATTCTTAAAGTATCGTGCTCATACCCTAAACGAAGTTTATCAGTGCACAAGGAATTGCGATTTTTGCTTGCTTGGACTCGTAGATCGAGGTCGCCTGTCAGAACGGGCATCTTTAGACAGCTCTTGCGACTATCTGTTTAGAAAAGTGTGAATGACGAGATTGGGGCCGGGGAATAGATGGTGGGCCGACTCTTTGCGTACCCAATAATCTCTTGGAACGGTCGAACGAAACTGTCACCTTGGTGACCAAGCGCACTACGAAACGCTTTGTCACCTTGTTGCCACGGCCACATGAAATGTGTTTTTTTTCTTCAAGCTTCTAGCATTTTTCGTACTGCGGGTATTGTTAGCATGGCATATGTCATCATCTGGGCGTCCCTACACTTGGTGTTTATTTTTATCCTAATAATTGACGGTAACTATACTCATGTTGTATCCGTTATCTTTTCGCGTGCTCAAGTTAGTGTTTTGACTATCTATAAATACAGAAAATATTAGGAATCAATACCTTCATACTCACGAGTTGACGTGTTGTGAAGATGAAATACATATTTAATAACCACCAAATGCGAAATATTCAATGTCTCACTTTCCCAAAGATGAGGCACGAACTTCTCATACGTTTTAATATCTTCCTCCTACCTTTACTTTGTTGGCAAACTATAATTATAGATGACATTATAAATCAATGCCTTTATACTTGCGGGTTGCAATATTATGAACCAGAAAGGCGTATGCAATAATTATCGAGAAATAAATATTCGAAGCACCACTCTGACTAAAATGAGACATCAGCATCAAGCACGTTTTAAGCTCTTCATCTCACCTATATTTTGTTGGCTAACTATAATTGTAGATGATGCAAACAATTCATACCTTCGTACTGGCATGTTGTAATATTTTGAAGAAGAAAGACATATTTAACAACCATGCGTGTGAAACACCCGAAGCCTCTCACTTTCGGAAAGATGAAACATAAACTGCTCGTGCGTTTTAAGCTCTTCCTCTTTTCTTTATTTTGATGACACTACATCCACCCCGAAATCAATACAAACGAAACCATTGAACCCCGATGATCATTTTTTGTAATCTTCAATGATTTGGAGAAATGACGCCATCACACAGCTTTCGCCTGTCTCAGGGTTCCCGAATTTGTGGGCCTGTCGTCACTGGCCCGCCTCTCATGGTTTCGTTAGCGGTATTGTTTTTTCTCCTCGACATGAATGATCTTCCCGCTTGTTGTTGAAGGAGTCGCAATTCATTCTCGGCTTCTCTTTTACTTGTTATTACGTTTCGTCTCAGTCACTGGTGTTGGCAAGCGGCCGAAGAGAGCAAACTGCTGAGACCACCGAAATAATCGTGGACGGATAGACAACACTATTCAGGAAGACAGAGATCGCTGGTCTCCTAATCAGAACAAAAAAATGGGCTCCTTGATGATACGATGCCACGCTATCCAGTCCCAGAGGCCATCTTTTTGAAATAAAGTCATAACCATGGTATTGGACGTCGCAACACTCGGTCCATTTGTCATTAGACCTTGCGAAGGTCAGTAAACAGTAGAGCGACTTTGAGAAATGCGACAGAGCTTGCATCATCATGAACGAATAAAAATGCGCATGGCTCGTGTATTTTTTTTCCTTTTTAACATTATTACGAGTGCTCGCGAGTAAAACAAAAACAGACAGATGTTGCAAAACGCGTTTCAAAATATTCAGCTTACGCTTCTTTAATGTATGTTTTTCTCCGTTTAATAGAAACGCCTTACATATTTACGCTTTAGATGTGTACGAATGGTGAAATATAAGCTCGAAATAAAGTTTGAATTGAAGAGTGTCAAGTAATGGTAAAAAAAATCCAATATCGAATCGAATACGAATGCGAAACAGTTTATTTTATTGTTTACATTACTAACCAAAATAGCCGCATAGATGAGAAAAAAATTAAGTTGTGTTTATTCTCCCGCAGGGGCTTACGGATATGTCCACCCATCCACGTGTGGATCGCAGCGTTGTGGATTAATGAACAGGTATGTCTAAACCGTTTGAATTGGGGGACTTGTTGCGTCACCTAACCCTCCTCACTTCGACGCTGTGGGGAACGACGGATTAGCGAAAGAGACAGGCAGTGGTATTTGCATTTTGATAATAATTTGTCATCTTATTGACGTGACAATGGAGAATAGGTTCTCAGCACACTGAGCTGGCTGAAGATGACGCAAGATTTTTTTATTTTTTTTATTCAGAAAGTGCGTGGTTTTCGGGCTTTCTTCGAGCGCCTAAAAAAAGCTCGGTGCATGACCGCCTCGCTTGAGAAACGCAAGAAGCGATTTATTTTCTGTTGAAATTGCGCATTAGTCAAAGCTGTTGAATGCAGGCTTGATTTAGATCTAGCAAGAGCCTCTAAGGACTATTACAACTTACCATATGAACAGCCTTCGAGAACAAGCCTTAATTGTTTTGCAAGAGTACTGTGGATTCGATGATTATAATTATTCGAAAACTCCAATAGTAGGAATTTGGAAGTCCAATCGAATTATTCGGATAATATATTTTATTCGAATTCGAAACCCGAATATTCGAACACCCCCAGTATTCTTCATTTGTGTCGTTATGCCCTACCCAACAAACGTGGAGGATGATAGTAAGATACGTTTGAAGTTGTGCTTTGTATCCAAATGTGTGAGCGACATTCCATTAACGCCCCTACGACATATAGTTCGCGTTCCTGAGATAAATGACGTAATTTTTTTACATCTTTAGAACATGATATACATTCTCGTGTACTCAGACAGAAATACTCTACTAAATTATAGCATACTTGGGTAATAAATCAATTACAGTAAATGAATTACTGTAGTTTAATTACTTTTGGGTAAGTTGTCATTGTAATGAATATATTTTTGCTACAACATTGAAATTGTAATTTAATTACTTTCTAGCCAGTTGCAAAATTTCAAGCACAATTACAATATCTTTTGCGACACTTTGCGCCGCCGATGGAAGTTTTCTGAAAGCCTCAGCGCTCGCACAAGCGGCCCAACTCTCGGTGAAACCAACTACTTTACTAGTGGAATGCATTCCATCCGCTCATTTGCATTAGACAGAACGCCTACAGCGTCGAATCCAGCTCTGACGGAGGGGAGGTCCGCGTCAATCCACGCGCAGGTGCACCTGGATGTTCGCGGCGGCCGCGGCGGTGTCGTCTCCGATTCCAGCTAAAGCCCCTCCATGTTCCAAAAGTAGTGCAAGGTGCGTCGATGCACGAGGCACGTGCAATGTGCAACCCTTGGGAAGATCATGGCGGCACAGCGCAGCAAAGTATTTGGCGCAGCACTGAGCTAGATTTTAGACGCCATGTTCTTCCTAGAAGTGGCGCGCGGCACGTGTCTGGAGCATTTCCACAACAGTGAATTTGGTATGTAGAACAACCATCTTCATCATAATCATTTACCGCCCGATAGCCGAGACCACCCCACGATAGATGGCTCTCGCCAAGCTCAGAAAACCTGTCCGCGCCGAGGCTATTGTATTTAAAAGGAGTGAAATGTATTCCCCCTAGTAAAGTATTTGACGAAACACTCGCACGCATACACACGCACTCACACACACGCACAACAAAAATAGCGTGGCATTGTTTCTTTTTTTGTTGCTTACACTGCGGGCTGAGAGGAAATCCTCTTTGGAGCCTACCTTAACGGCGCCATATGTAGCGCCGTCTGCGGTGCGAGCAGAAAACAATTGCGCAAACATGCCAAAATATTGAAAGGAAAAGAATTTGCTTAAGCTTTCAATCAAGGTTGAGAATTTTAATTTTTTCTCAAGTTATTTTTCTTACTTTTTTGCTAGTTTTTTACGTCTCTCTTCCTGTACTTTTGCTTATTTGTATCCTCGTATTATTTTCAGGTTTATTTCTTGTTCGTTTTACTTCGCATATTATTTGCATAAGCATTTTGCAAACTGACCTCACACCTGTGAATATTGTCGCCAAGGGTTCGACAGCCCGATTTGGTTCTTGTATATTTCTGAGCCATTATAATTTTAACTCAATGTAAATAATTTACAATAACATGATGTTTGTGTGTGAATGTAGTCGTATTGGCGCGTGTGGATTTTAGTTTTAAATTAACACTTGTAAAATATTCATATATGACTAGTTGTCACATCTTTATTTGCCTGCCTTACAAAAGTGTGTCAACACAATTGTTTTTAGCAATCTGGCGTCTTCCAGCATATGAACTAATTTATTATTATTTCATGAAAATATAAGAGCGTAGTACTTCATTGTCCCAAACGGAGTTCAGACATGAATTTAAGAAAATTCATAAAAGGAAAGTACAATGCGTGATATTTATGCAGTGATGCCTTAAGACCTACGACCAGTTCGCGCTTTCCACTTTTCCCCCACTTGCTGTTTCCTCCTCTTTCATGGTGAGGAGGATCTTCTGCCTTGCAGAATTTCGAGTCTGGTTGTCGTCCTTTAAGCCTCCTCAAACATAACGGCAAGGAAGGAACAAATGGTTGCATTCTATACAACTCGTTCAAAGTTATATGGCTCAAGTCGGGTCGCTTTCAGAAATAAGTAATTGTAAAGTAGTTGCATTACTTTTTAAAAGTGATTTATAATTGGAATAATTACTTTTCACGTAGTAGCAATTTTAATATTAGTTAAACTACTTTTGAAGCAAATAAAATTTCTTTGTAATTAAATTACATTTTGGAAGTAAGTTACCCATGTATGAATTATGGCATATTTCCCGGAAGCTTTTTTCGTTTATTCCGATTACGGCCAGAAATTAATTGAACATTGATCTGTCCTTTTGTGGCGTTTTGCATACAAATTCAGAAACACGGGAGGGAAAAAAAGAACCTAGGTTTACAAGCTGATTGGTTTCAGAGGTGCTTGACATTGCTGAAGAGGTCTGGGGAAAACCTCAGCCTGCAGTGATATTGCCCATATAAATAAATAGAAACAAAAGCTGCGGTGTCCGCGCAGATAGGACAGAATTATCTGCGCGCATGCTTCAATCACGTTCGAAGCACGATTGCTTCATACATAGGTATGCTTCAAACATGTCTGTAAACAGTTTTTGGAAGACAGATCTAACAGAACCATCATTCGAGGAACGCACAGGTCTCAGACATCGTCGGCAGGTTGTCTTTTGCACGATGTGAGAGCAATGTTACTGCTGCTTCAGGCCAAGTTACTGAGGGCAGGCGGGAATAAATAGCCACCAGATCATTGCGGGCAAATCGCTGTATGGTGTACAAAAAGTGAAGGAACGTCTCGTACCTCATTAAATAAGTTGCGCGAAGCTCCTTGAGAAAACGCAGGGCGGTGTCGCGGATCAAAAATACTTTCATCCCGGGAGCATTCGCATAGATGGGAAGATCTTTCTAAATTTACCAATATGTACCAGTGCTTCATTCTACCAGGGAGCACGAGCTTCGTGAAAAAAAATAGCGTAACGTCTAAGGAAAAAAAAAACCTAGAATTATTATGCTCGGACGTCGTTGAGGAGTTAAGTTACACGCAAAGCGGTCTTGCTTCTGACTTGAAAATGCAAATTAAATCACTCGAACGCGAAACAACAACATCTTACTACTCGACGTCAGTTTCAGATCTAATATTAGGCCTCACTTTCGAAAATCTGCCCCGAAGCGAGCTGCTTTTTTTTCGCATTTCCGTGTCTATAGCGTACAACCCAAGGCCGGCTCATGCAGCACCGCTTGCTTACGCTGCGTTATGTGACGACATCTTGCATCTGCTCACGTCGAGAACCAGCGGGACATCTGTACTTCATATTAATCGGGGCAATCAGTTCAAGAAGTAGCCTTGCACGCTGCATTCGATGCAGGGGTATTTCGGTGACTTGTAACGTAAAGAAACGCAAGCAAACGCTCCTGCGTTTGCTTGCGTTTCTATTATCAAGTTTCGTCACCTCGCAGTAGAGTCCTGAAAAGCCGAAGAGATGAAATCAAAGAAGTGATAGGCACCTTCTTCGCCTTCGTGAACAGATGCGCAAAAAATCACGCAAATTTAAAAAAAAAAAAAAAATTGATTGTTTTAGGAAAAAAAATAATTAGAGGCGAGAGAAATACGCGAACCCTAGTCCAAGAACAGAGAGAATCGAGAGTGCGTCGCCCTGCTCCTCAGTAATTAAAGCAATCCAAATAATGGAGCACGAACCGCCTGATGGGATGAGATGAGCCCGCGGCTCTTTTCTTGGTGTTCTCAGGAACAAAAAACGATGGAAGGGCCTGTGCCAGTACCATTTAAAAGACAAGGCCTGCGCCTCACGTCCTCTTGCGTAGATCACCGACCCGCCCCAGCGAGAGGCGGACGCGCTGCAGCCCTACGAAAGCCACCGCGAAGTGGCAGACGCGTCTGACGTCTTGGCATCGCCGCGTCTCTGCGTCTTAAGGTCGCACTCGTTGTGAGATGATGCAATTCACACTGCGGACGACGATGCTGACGCAAGCTATGGGCGGCGCTGCGTGTATCCACTCGTGATGACGTTTTGGGGAGAAAGTCTCGGGCCTTGTGTTTCATAAGTGGTATTGCCTTAGCCGTGGCCTTTTATCCCCCCCGCCCCTAAGCAGACAGCGCACTCGGGCCAGGCCAATCGACCGCCTCCCTTCCTTCCCTCACCTGACCCCGGCTCTCTGCACGTGGATATCGGCGCGAGGGTTATCGCGTGGAGAAAGGGAGATATATATATGACCGATTCAACGAACACGTATAGCTTCCGTGGCGCTGTCAGCTTTGGTGTGAACGGAGCGTACGGAGAGAAAGTGAAGGAGAGGAGGAGATAAGAGCGTGCGGTGACGTCGGAGCGTCGCCGAGCTCTGATTGGATGGATTAGTGGGTAGGCGCAAAGGCTAGCTGCTTCGGCCTCTGGCCACCATCTCCCTCCAATCAAAGCGAACAAGAAGCGTCGCCTGCTCCTCGCGCAGGGCCCTGCGTCTATCCGTTGTCTGTACCTCCTATCCGGCCAATCAGAGCTCGAGTCATATGACGTCACTGCAT